ATGTCCATTGTTTTCCCCAAAATACCCACAGCTAGAGCTGGAAGGCCATTTTCTGGAACGTTCTGCCTCACCAACGGCAAAGTCACAATCCATCTAGACTTTTTATAGCTGAGGCAGGGCTCCAGAGTCACTGTATTTAGAAAACCCTGCCTGGCATTCAGGGATCTTCCCGATTTGGCAGTCTGTTTATTCTGGGGGCACCTCTGTGCTTGTTTTCAAGTGAGCCTTACCAAGTCCTTGGCTCTGGCCCCAATGGGGTTGTTCTTCATATTTTCCCATTTCAGGAAAAGGTAATATATTTATTTGGAAGCAAACCAACCCACCGCCTACCAAAATGAAATGACAATTGTAGAACTCTCACCTAAAACCAAACCGCTTTTCAACAGCAGGAAAAAGGGAAGGGGGCAGGCAGAAGCAAGGGGCTACTTCATTCCAACAGCATCTGCTTTCTACTACAAAAAAATTCAGAAGCCAAGTTCCTCCCTTCACATACAGGTAAGAAGCTAACTGAAGGTCAGGGTCAAGCTTTCTCCTATCACCAAATTCAGGAACACACAGGAATATTACATACCTATTGGGTTTAAGTTTTTAAGACTGTACTTTTTTTTTTGCCTTACTCCTGTTCAGTCTGCCTCGTTCATGCACACACCCTGTTTATGATATTCCTGGTAATACCAAGCACTATAGCAAGATTACTTTTCAAGCAACATCTTGAATTATTTTATTACCACAAGTTAAAGTTTTGCAAAAATAAATGCCTGTTTTCATTCCTCTTTCAGGATCTACAAGAATCTACTCAAGAGTCAAGTAGAAATGTAATTTAATACCCTCTCTTTATTCTCAGAAAGCAAAACCCACCAGCTGCAAACTTATTTCCATTCTGGCGCAAACTTAACAGAGTAGGTCCAGCATTTTAGCAGATCTTATTATGGGAAATAAGTGTTAATGAAGTTGTAATCAAAGAATTTTGGGAAATAAATGCAAAAAACCCTCTGAATTAACAATAAGCACCTTTATTGACCATCTTACCATTCAATACTCATTTCATTCAATCTCCTAAATTGCTGAACTACAGTTCAATTTAGCATTTAAATAAAAGAAAAAGATATTTTAATTGACTTGTATAAAAAGTGTTATACCTGGGTGGCATAGAATTAAAGCACGATTTAAAAAAGCCAGACACAAGTAATCACTACCTGTGATTTTGAACATTGAGCCTCATATTCTTCAAAGTCAAAACATATCCTCCGTATGATGTTACATTTGTAAAAATGCCTACAAAAACCTGTTTGTTCAGAAGGCAGAGTGGTTGGAAAGTATTTTCTATTTCACCATTTTAACATATGACATAACTTCACAGAAACTACTAGGCGACAAAATATTTCAGATAAATATCACACATTAAAACCCCCTTGACACCATACCGTGTCCCAATGATTTCAGTAGACCAATAGCACAGCAACAAATCTTTGTTGTACAGACTAAAATTCAGCCACACATCATTTGTTACAATATTTAGTTCAACACTCAGGAAAATTAAAAAGAAAATATAGCAAGGAATCTGGTACTCAGATACTGGTTATTCTCACTTTTTTCCTTGCTGTTTATAGAACATGTGATCTTAGGTTACAAAGGGTACGCTACTTCCCAGTGTTTAAAACTTCTTCAAAATTTATTAGCAAACTTTGAGAAGCAAGGAAATTGCCTTTTATAAAGAATTTTTTTTTTTCTATCTTCTTCTGACCTTAATATCAAGCTTATATTCAAGCCAATAAGAATAAAATTAACCAGAGCTATTTTACTGCAAGGACACCAATTCCTATGCCAACATAAGTATTCAGGCAAAAATCATTTAACTTATCAAGTTAGCGCTTGAGTGTAAATTAAATTTCTTCTGAAAGTCCTATACCCTACACAAGGTAAGTTTTTCAACAGTATCCAAGAAGAAATAAAACTCTCAGGAAATCGTAAGAAAATCTCCTGAAATAAGTCCTTCATAACACATGCAAAATGAGATTTCCTGGAAAGGCAAAAATCATGTGGATTTTTTCCTTTAAATTTCCCCTTTCTGTGGGATGGAGAGTTATTCTAACTAACAACAAACATTCATCACTATTACAAAATAGTGTTGTCTCCCCACGTCAGTTTGGCTTAAGGTCTTTATCAGCATAAAGTATCTGTATGAAAGATGAGAAAGGGAATTCAGTTTGTAGCAGAGATTCATTTCTACACACACACAATCTTTTTCCCCCCACAGAACAAATCTAATGTGGGAAATAATCCTTTAGAACAAGGCCATTAAAAAAACCAAACCAACAATATTAAATAGAACAGGAAAGCCTAAGCAAAGACATACACTGCTGGGACAGTGGATGGGATGGTAAGAAGAGATGAGAAGTTAGACCTGTATATAACTTCCACATGGCTGAGATCCTGGTTTTCTAGTCTGCTCAGATCATGAGGTTCTCAAGGCAGAAATAGGGCTTTTTTTTTTTTTTAATTCCTCTTCCCTGCCTCTGTTTTTTAAAGGCAAATATATGCAGGACGCAGTAAACATTTTGTAAGGTTAATACAACTAAACAGTTAAACAAAAACTTGAGTTCATTTTGTGAAACAATTTAGACTAAAAAAACCCAGAATCTCTTACATCAGAAAGGCAACACACTTCACTCTTAAATCAACAAAAACTTTTGCTTAGATTCAGGCTCCACATTTCTTATTACACACAACACAGCTAGATCCTCCAGCTCCATCTTTCCTCCATTAGCCACAACTTAGTGGAGAAAGTCTCAGCATACATCCTAGTTACAAAAGTCTTACTCTGGAAAAGATTTAGTTGTGAAATAGTTGCATACAGGTGAAGGCAGACTTCACATTAAAAGGAGTGTTATTAATTATGATGCAATTTTTTGGTGTTCCCAGTTTTGGGGAGAATTTATACATCCTTTCTAAGACCCAAGTGTTTCTGGTAACCAGCATTGGGATATGAAGAAAATACAAGTCTTTTCACCCTTTAGTAAAAGGGGAAAGTCAACTAAAACTAAACCAAATATAATCAAAATTTCAATTTTCCTTCACTGAGGTACTTAACATTTTGAAAACTAATGACTGTATCATTTACTAAATAAATGTATCAGCCATCTTGAGACAACAAATCATATCATTCATGTTCATTGCTATGAATAAGGTTTTTTATGGTTCAAAATGAGCATAAGTGACAAACTGAAAATTAAAAAGTAATTAAAGGTACTCAATAGCTCTCGAAGTTTTATGTCCCTGCAAAACACTTTTTTTTAGGGACCAAAATCAATGACATCAGTAACATCAACCTTAAATCCAATTCACAACTCTACTTTGCTAGTAACCCCCAAAATAGCATTTTTTTTCCCATAATACTATGTTCAAGAAGTGTAGCTTTTTTTAGTGATTTATTTTTCTACAAGGGAACTTTCAGGAAACACAGCCAAAGAAGAAAGGCTCAAGTCTTATTTCCTTACCAAATGGGTGCACTTTGTAGCAAGTGAGCTTGATGTAACAAATCCCTTGGGGGGAAAAAAAAAAAGGAAAGGGGAGGTTGTGAATGTGATGTTCACAAAGGGTACAAGTGTGATAGCCCTAAACACCAAGGTCTTCCTTTAATTGGCAAAATAATGTGCCACCAGCTCAAAAAAGTAACTATCTCTTCTTAGCCGCTCATTGTCATTTGTGATAGCAAGTGTTGCAATACTGACACGGATCCCTTGGCCTCTCCAAACAGAAATCACTCCCTTGTTTAAGACAGACAGCAAGTTCTCACTGTCATGTCTTTGGGCTGGAGCAGAATTGTAATTAGTTTGTTCTACAGTGATACTTACAAAAGAATAAAACACAAGTTGGGCCTTCCAATTTATCTGAAAGACTCAAAGAACATTTTTGAGCTTTTCTTCATTTGCAGGAACTTTTCATACCTGCTAAGCCAATGCAGAAGTATGTGAACCATAGCTGAGTTTCTTAAAAACAGTCGCATTACCCAGGAAAACACAGCATCTGCTCAATGCTTAATCACATTTGAAATAACTGTTAAATTAAAGAACAATCTCCTATGATCTGTTTGTGCAATATCAGACCAACTGTCCATTTCTAAAATTGAAGCTATTTTTCAAATAACCACTGAATTGAGTAAGCTGAGAAAGCAGAAAATAAAGACGCCTAGAGTGACAATTTCTACAAAAGAATCTTTAAGGGCACATACTTTCAAGTGCTGATTTTGTCGCTCAAACTTTTTGGGTCACTGTCAATCAACATTTCTTGCAGACCGTAAGATACCCTTAGAGATCTTTACTGAAAATACTGTAAAGGTGATAGCATTTAGTGACCCAAACATAAAATCCACAGTTCGCAGATTCACCATTTGGCAAAAGTCATCTTAGGAAAGGGAGCATGCACAGGATATTATCATTACTGCATGATACCCTTGATATTTTACAACTTACACAGAACAGTTCGTTCCTTAAGCCCTAGAAATGCCAGAGAACAGTCACTTTGAATTATTTTTACAGCTGGAAATCAACATTTTTTCAGAATTTAAAATAGCTGTAGGTAAACAGAATTAGCAACATTTGTTCTGAACAAAGCAGCACATTCTGTTCCCCCTGCCCCCTCCCCAAAATAGAGGCAAAATGCAGTTACTTTTCTCATCACAGCTCCTGGGACAAGGACACTGAAGCTCTGTAGACTGCAAATTCCTCCATGCACAAGACACACAGTTGTACAATTCAGCAGGGTATCCAGCACAAAAGCATTTACCAAGTGCTGAGAGATTTTACTCAACAAGCACTTTTCCCCATGTACATTAAGAAGAAATTTAAGGTATTATGCTGCACTTAAGATTATGCAATTTTAATGACAACAAAATCAATAACATCCAAAAAAACAGATACTGTCCAAGATTTCTTAAGAGATTGGTTGAGATAAGACATCCAAGAAGAACTGACGCTGGACAAAAAAATTCTAAAAATCCTTTAAAGTTGTCGGACTTTTTTATCAGTGCTTTTAATATTGACGTCCAGTGTCTCTACTTTTTTTGTTAGCCGATCCAGCATATCATCTTGCTCATCTATTTCTGTCTGCAGACCAAGAGCTAGGTTTTTCAGACGACTCAACCCAGAAGACATCTCATCTGTCAATGAAGAGAGGGACCATCAGGAATCAAAGCAGTATAAAGCATAATGTTTAACCGGACACCATCAGGATTCTCCGAAACCCTGGGTGAGAAAACGTTAGTTAAAACTGCTCAAGTCTGAGTGTTCTTCTCCAATAGTGGAAGCACCAATTTATTTAACACTTGTACTGCATTACTACCAGAAATAATCACTTCTGTCTTTTTTCCATTACAAGTTAACTACAAATGCTTAAAACCAAAGTGGATCTTTATAAAATGACACACCCTATAATGTAGTTTTTAATTTTTTTTAAAACATGTTTTATAGAAAATTGGGCGCATATTTTCTCAGCTCAGTATACACAGTATGCTCACTACCTCACTTGTTTTTCTTTAAACTTCATGCAGACATATTGTCAATAAACTGAAGATGTAAGCAGTTAGTTATTTAACATAGATGGAAAAATCCCATTTCTACATTTTCTAATTTGGCTACAAGGAGACTATTTTATTGCATGATTGATTAGTATAAATGCTTCTGAGGCTAGTAAGTTTTGCACAGCTTGAGAGCAGAACCAATATGGTTCCACAAACTCTTATGCTCGAGTATTTCTCTTTGATGTATTCCTTTCTGATTTCTTTCTAATCTCTTCTTTCTAGGTCAGCTAAACAGTGACACATGTAAGCAAACAGGCACTTTGTATATAAGCTACAGAACAAAGGAAGAGAAAGTCAGCTGAATGGTTTTGGGAAGTAATAAAAGAAATGTAGCAAATTCACAAATTAAATACTTAGCGCCTTTCAAGTCTTCTATTTTCTGCAAAACATTTATTTCAAAGGCTGCACACAGTATAAATTCTTTGGGTCCAAACTGATGTGCAATTTAATATTTGAGTTTAACTGTCAATTGCTTTAGAAAAAGAGGTAATAAGTATTCATACCAGTATGATCTGGATGTCAATTTAAAGCAGTACTTCCTTATTAATATTACTAGTACCTGCTTAGTAAGATTTTTCAGAATGGATGGATAAGGCTGCTTGTCCCAGTGATATTCCCATCAACTTACAGGATTAGTCAAAGAAACATTTTCACATCCTGAACGCAAGTGTTGTGGGATACTTCAGCACCATTTCCTCATTCAAGTGACAGAGATTTGCTAGCATATCTCACTTAGTAAGAGCGTTTTTCTTATTGTCAATCTATGATCTAAGAGGACTCATGCTTTTGGTGTGGGGTTTCTTCCCCTGGTCTCTTTGTCCAGGGACAGTTCAAAAACTATTTCTAAAGCACAAGCACGTTGCAGAAGAATTGAAGTATTGATGCCAAGAGCATATCAGTGTCCCAGGCATCCTAGCCAGTTTGTTTCTAGCTGGTTTCACATGAAACACAATTCTAACTCTGATTTGTTATTAATATTTGCAAGTAGTTGACCCACAGACATCCCACAGCATTCTACCATTCGAATAATGTACATTTCAATCAAACTTTGGATTCTGCCATGTTGATAAGTTTTGAAATGCAGAATACAAGCAAATGACTTTTTATTATTACCAAATTTCACATATGAACTGAACGAAAACGTGTTTGTTGGCAATATATTACTTAGTAATTTTGTCTGACTTAAGAACCAAAAATTGAAAATTGTACTACATCAAACAGCTTCAATTTTCTCACTCACCTAAATTGTTATCAATTTTCTGGTGGTAAGCTCGCAAGTGTTGATTCTTTGGATAGGAATCCCTTTGCACTGAAGAAACTAAATCCGCTTTGCTGAAATCATTGTCTGTTAAGAATATAAAATACAGAATATTATTTAATAAAAAAGAGATAGGAAGAAGAGGCTTTAAAGTTTTAGAAGGGCTATTAAAAATTAGCCTGACCACAGCTGTCAAAAGTAGTCCCAACACCACTATCTATAGGGCACCCCTCAAGATGAACAGTTAAGCTACAATTATTCTCTTTTGGACTGGCTTTTGTAGTTCTACTAGGCAGTTGAGAGAAAAAAAGAAAAAACCCAGCCACCCAACCAACAAAGCAGGTGGGCTGGGAACTTCTCCCAGCAGTTAGCACTCTCCCAGGTCAGGCCACCAGAGAGTTATTTCTGCCCTCTATTGGACAGACTTTTAATATTATGCGGAGTGGAACAGAGATTAATGTTACCAAAAGCATTTATTTACTTACAGAACTACAACTATAAAGATACCTTGCTTCTTTCTCACTCTTAATAAACTGAATAATTGAACCTTCCTTTAAAAAGGAACAGTTACTCTGTAGATAAAAGTCATCACAGAAGTTAATGCATTGTGAGAACAGGGAACAAGACCAAACCCTGTATGGTCCTTGTGTGAATCAAGTAATGACTTCAGTATGAAGGGTTACAGTCCATGTTTGAAATAACAAGGAAAACACTCCTGAAAACTATGACAAATGATCTTTAAAAAGGAGAACCTCTGAACCTGCAAGTTAACATTTTGGCAAACCTAGGGCAAGGCTGCCTGCACATTGTGTGGATTCTTGGCAACAGTCTCCTCTGTGCAAACAGAAGCACTGGGTGCTTTTAAAGTCTTCAGTGGATATTACATAAATCCCCCTGGGGAAGGGCTAAAAATCTGTATCCAAGTAAAAAAAAGAATTCACATCTTCAGTATGGGTATAATGAGTTTTAAGGGAAACAATTCCCTAGAATTCAAAGCCATGAAGGCTGGGATACATTGCTGCCTAACATCTGGAGATTTGCAAGTCAGCAGCTGGGCAGGCTGAGGGGTCTCTGCCTTCACTGCTCTGCAAGTTTGCCCCACGTTGCTGACAGACATTCAGTGTAAAATAAAGTTAACAAACCTGAATTATCTAGCTTCCTTAAATTTGGATGACTTTCCTGGTATTTTGACTCTTGTTCTTTACTAGACATCATTGCTTCTTTTAATCTAGTAATAAAGAGAATAAAAAGAAATCATTTCTATGGTCCACAGGCCTCATTCTGAATCCATTAAACAGAACATGTATCAAATTTACACAAAAGCAGCAAATTTGTTAGACCTGATGCTAAATCTTCCTTTAAAATGAACAATTAGCATTTGTCTTCAGTGAAAGCAGAACTGGCTGCTTTAGTGCTGAAAATAGCATATGGAAACTTTGACATCAAAACCAAAACTGTATCTTCTGTCTTGGAAGCAACCTACTCCTTTCCTCTAGCAGAGGATGGAAGGGGAGGAAGAAATCAATCCATGCAGCAGTACCAGGCTTTACAGAAGTTTCTCAGCTAAAGAGAGACAAGTACTGTAAGACATAGTAATTTCACAGCAATTAATTTTTATTTACAGCTTTTAATAGAAGCTAGAGAATACACATAATATTTAACTGGAAGCATGTCAATACTACAAATCATGATTTCCTGGTAAGACTGAAATAAGCATGATAATTCAGAATACTGAAGAATAACTTGTGTAATTGTTTGAATTTGCAACAAAGTTATTCTTACCACTACAAATATAAATAAAAGTAAAAATACTTCTCTCAGAGTTAAAGGAAAAAGGGAGCTAGACACCATCTCAAGAGTTTAATTGGCAGAATCAACAGATCTTTTAAGTTCTGATTTTCTGGTGACATTTCAGAGATGATGCGGGAAGCAAGTCCCAAGTAAAACGTTTATTTTACTTACCTACTGTTAGCATAATATTCAGGGGTTCCATTCTGCTCTGGTTTGCTGTCTGGAGGTTTGGCTTTGAAGTAGTTTACCAAGCCCCCCCAAACACTCTTAATGCTATTTATGTGCCTTTGACTAGTCTTCAAGTCCTGGTCCATTTTATCTACCATCTGTTCTGTGCGCTTCAGTGCCTCTCCTTGACGTACAAGCTCCTAACAGACATTGACAGAAAGAGAAGCTAGTAAAGCCAAGATAAACTGAAACATCAAACACATTTAACAGACACTCCAAAGAAAAATAACAGCACTCCTTCATTTGTGTAGATTGTTTCTAGAGGTATACACCTTTTTCACTCACTCCTCTTCCTCCAGGGCATTTCAGTCAAGAGTTGCTCGTCTGGCACAGTATTACCCAGCTATAAAATCCTCCTCGCTACGCAATGCCAGGATCCTGACACCTACTACAAATGGCATCCAGGAATTTTCTGTATTGGCCTTTCATCAGGCTGACATTTGTATCTCTTCCTGATGAAGCAATCATGGCACCAGATGGGTGCCGTAGTGAAAATGCAAAGGTTTATGGCAGGGAAATGAGCAAGCAGAACTATTTCTAGTTGTGAATGACAGCTTCATTGGGAAGGGATGCTATTTTCACATTACGAGGATGTTCCTGATAATTTAGAAACAGAATAACCAACGGAAATAAATACAAATAGAATTTTTTCATACTGCAGGAATAGTCTTTTAGCTAATACTAACAGTGCAGGATTTAGAAATTTTGATATATACAATTATGTTATGTTCTAATTCAGCAGCACAACCACTATTCCAAAGTAATCCAAAGATCAATCCTGGCAGGAAAGTTGCCCGCAGCTAATGCTAGTGCAAAACAAAGAACTTGTGTTCACATTCTCTCTAAACTTTGGGGAATTCTAGTTGAATGTTCTTTCTTCTTCCTCAATAAAGCAGCTAACACATACAACTCAAGTTTTACCACAAGCCCTGTGTTAAGACTAAACTCTTGATTCCTCATTTGTGCTTTTCCGGACAAACAAATCACGAGGCCACAAGTTTGCAGAAGCGCCACCGAGAACCCTCTTCAGCACAAGCACCTACTGCAGCGTGTGGATGCTCTCGGGTTAATTTGGGCAACCACAGTACTGACGTTCAAGGCAACATCCCATTAGCAGGTGACACAACGGACAAGACCTTTATGAGCGACATTGCTGAGCATAAACTCTATTCTCAAACAAGGCCGAAGAATGAAGGAAATGATTAATCGGGCTGAAGCGAGCACATCACAAACAACAGGGCAGGCTCTTCATTCACCCAAGAGAACTGCTGAAAACTCTTCAGTCGGATAAAGACAGGCATAAAGGCCATTAATAAGACTCATTAATAAGCTGAGTCCTAGTCTCAGTATCAGACAGAGAGGATCTAGCTAGGATTTTTTCCTCAGCACCCAAACTGTCTCCACCCAGAAAATCAGCCTGCAATCACACAGGGGA